ACAGAACATTGCTAGAGAGCAGGAAAGGAGGTGAAAGAAGACAATTTTAGAGAAGAAAATTTTTTGACCGCTACCCGGATTCGAACCCGGGACCTTTGAATGAGAGGCCAACACCTTAACCTCTAGGCCACTAGAGCCCCCTAAAAAAACCGCTCTGACTAAGCCCGTTTTTTTTCAGATGATGCAAGGACATTTTTTTCTGCTTATTTGCAAAGGTCGGTAATTTTACAAAGTGAGAGTCAGGAGAAAGATGGAAAGTACTGGAACCTATAATGAGATGCTATGCTCGGTCCTTCACTGGTGTCATAATAATATATTACGTAACAAGTGTTTCAACAGACCTAGATCAGAATTGAGGGTCTGTGTGCTATGTGCAGCTGGCAGAGTGCTTGTGTTATTGTTGTTCTCTTCTTCATCCTCGATCTTGCTGATGTCATCATCGTCTGCTTGTTTCTTCGTTTCCTCTCGATGCCTTGACTCAAACTGATGGCGTATGCGATCTAGAAGGTCCTGGAGACTTTGGCCGCAAAAGATTTCCACTAGTCCATTTGCTTCGTTGGCTGAAATTCACAAGAGGATGTGATTTTAGAATTTTACTGAAACAGCCGTACCTCTTGAATGAATCTAATTATTACAAGCATTTTGAGAAGTCTATTATACCAGCTGTTGGGGCTACATAATATCAATTAGGGTTTCCCGAGAGTTCAAATTCTACTTCTAGGCGTTACCATTTGTGTCTGTGTGGTTTCACGAGCCTTCAGTCTTACTAACGAATAAGATCAACATCTTCAGTCAAAGTCATAGTTCAGGCTGAAGATAGGAGAGTACATTTTCTTTTTTTAAACCGCGTAACAGACAAAAATGACCTTTATCATAATTGGTCTTCGTTCTCTCTCTCTCTCTTACTGATCATTACGGTATTACAATGGTAATCTAGAAGATCTTGAGCTAGGACAATCATTTATAAATATATCGCTTATCATTGAACCACCCTGTTCTGAAGCGGCGACAGACAATACAATGGTAAGAAAAACTGTAGCTCGGAGTGGTCAGTGGACAGGTCACTCACGTTTGGCTTGCAGCCACACAAACGCCATCCCATCGCCTGGTAGACTGGATAGAGTAACTGTCACATTGCTCACAGGTCTGCTGTAGATGGATTTGAATCCGTAGAATCCACGATGTGCACACTGGAAAAAGAGTAAAGGAAAGTGATTATAATGATATGACGTTCAATATAAGAATTCCAGTCAACAATTTCAAACGGTCTTCCTTGGTGTACGTACTATTAATAATATTATTAGAGCTATTGTGCTTCATTTGTAACACTTAAAAATATTTTGTGCGCAATTATTTACAAAGAGAAAAACTAGTTTGAGCTGGAAAAAAAAATATATACATATATAATATATATATATGACTCGCGCGCTCTGTGGTGTATTCTATATCTATATTTCTCTCTCACTTATACTCATACTTTGCGCGGGTTCTGGGACAGTCAGAGATTGAGAGAGAGTAAGTAGAAGAAAGAGAGGGAGAGAGTTTGAAAGACAGAGAGAGGGAATGATATATACATATATATGTACATATATACATACAGAGAGAGAGAAAGTGAGAGAGAGAGAGAGAGAGAGAGAGAGAGAGAGAGAGAGAGAGAGAGAGAGAGAGAGATACACACACACACACACACACACTGACTGACTGTCTGTCTGTCTGTCTGTCTGTCTGTCTGTCTGACTGACAGACAGACAGACAAACATATATATATATATATAGATATATATATATATATATATATATATATATATATATATATATATATATATATATATATATATATATATATATATATATATATATATATATATATATATATGGGTGTTTTTAGGGTCTACCTAGACTGAGAGGCTTACAACATCCCAGCAGAAAGACCGAGATACTCGATTACCCCCCCCCTCCCTCCCCCCCCCTCCTTTTTTCCACAACATAAGAATCGAACTCGGGTTTTCTGCACGGCGACGGTGAAGCGTTTAACAACCACAACAGCACAGCTGCCAGTTGTGCAACAAGTGTAGTATCAGACTTCAAGAATAATCGGTTGTATCACGAAAGTTGCTCCAGTGAATAAGCGCTCGCTGAATGTCAAAACGTCAATTTGCACAAAATATGCCAAATTAACTTACTAAGCCTTCTGGAGTTCGTAGCTCCAATTATTGTTCTTGACAGGCTTACAGGTTCTCATTGCTAACATAACCAACTGGAAAAAAATGACACGGACAATTATTTCAAGACACTTGGATATCAGTTTTGACACAAGGGAAGTTTGACGATATTTATACACCCGAAGCTTACAGTAACAATAAAGTAAAGCCCAAAACGCCAACGTAGAGAATACTGAAGGACACTGATGAGTGTAGCAGCTCTGATACTGTAATCTCGCCGTCGTTTAAAAGTTAAGAATAATCATGGCGCTCATACTATGACCTTATGCAATTATAAGCGCCGTAAAGCTTTTACCCAACCGAAAGAATGATTACAAAATCAACCATCTCGTTCAACACGGATTAATCTTGGTAACATTATTCATACACAAATCATACTGCAATACGACGTACAAAAGAATGCTGTTTATTTTTTTTAAAAACACAAACAAAAACGAATGTCTTGATTAAACTGACGAGGCTGCAGAAAAAGAAAGCCACAATCAATAATTCAGGTGGCGTCGGTGGCCTAATGGTTAGGCCAGCGGGCCCGTAACCGTGAGAATGCGGGTTCGGGGATTCCAGCGTCAGTTCGGTCCGACGTTGTGTCCTTGGGAAAGGCACTTTACACAAATTTTCCACTTGGCTTGGTCCTTTCGAAGACGGACGTTAAACTCAAAGATCCTGTCTCTTAAATAACGTAATAGTGTTGGTAGGGGCGTTAAACCATTTTCAAAAATCCAGAGGTATATTAACATAGATAAGATAAGATAAGATACATCTTTATTGTCCAGATCCTGGCACGATCGTTTGGTGTTTCACCACGTACACACTCACACACACACACACA